TATAAACTAGAAATAAGTCTTTAATTAACCTTGAATTAAACTTGTATGTTGTTATAGCATGTTGCTCCAGCTCTTTCCTATTGATTATTATCAAAGTAATCAGTATGGATATTGTAAAGGATCTAATACCTGGTCATAAACTTTGTACAGAATGTTGAAAAATATTGTACTTAAAAAATAACAAAAAAGATTACAAAAGCAATTCATGTCAACATAAAGATAATGATTTTACTGAGACTAATATTTTTAAAGAAAACTTTAATTCAAGCATTAATAGCCTTGATTGTTCACCTCTAAAACTAGTAGCTCATAAAAACAGGGTCAGCTATGCAAAAAGAAAATTGAATTAAATTTATACAGCAATACAAAAGAAATTAGCAACTTTTTGTTTTGGGAGTTTCTCCAGATTTAAGTAAGGATGAACCAAAAAACAAAGAGCTGTGTTGCAAAAGTAAAAAGACTTGGACTTATTAATGGAATAATTTAAAGCAAAGTTTGATGTTTCTTTAAAATCAGAAAAACCTAAATTACTAACTTCCTGACATTATTACTGGTTCCTGACAGTTGGAATATTGATTATTCACAAAAATATTTTTCTGCTTCCTAATAATAATAAAAGTAGCATAAGATATAGGCGTTGCATAATGGCAGAGCCATCTAAAAAAGAAGGAAGATCTATTAGTGATAAAGTATTAAATCAAGTTCATGAATTTTACCAATCAGATGAATACTCTCGAATGTGTCCAGGTATTAAACATTCGAATGTGTCTGGGTATGAAATGTCTCAATCTGAATTGGTGAATTGGTGACAACCTTTTCAAAAAAGACTTCTATTAGTTAGCATAAAAGAACTTTATTTAGAGTTCATTAAAATTCATTAGTTTAATTTACTGCTTTGCTTGATATTCACAACATGGAAGAAATCACCTTTAATCAGAGGCAAAAAAGCCAACAAAAAACATGATATAGTTCCATTAACTCTTCCAGTGAATGATTTTATTAAAAATATCTTGTCAACAAATAGACCAATTATGAAACCATCATTATATAGCAAAAAATCAAGCAGCATATTTGCAGCATCTAAAAATAGCATTACCAAGTAATCATATTTTAGCACTACTAGACTTTGCTGAAAATTACAATTTTTTAATTGAAGATGCAGTACAAGGACTTGTAGCTAGGGCTGAAAGGAATACATATTCAATACATTTCAAATGACATTGCGTAAAGTTAAAATTAGAAGAACATTATGCTACGTGTTCAACAATTCTAGGAACAAGAAACCACCATTTATTTTTACCACAATCATTAACTACTTTACAGATGAGACAGGTATCATTTGATAATATGTATACTAATTTATGTTTCTAAAATGCAGCATATGGTTCTACTTGCTTCTTTTTTACTAGGAATTAATATAGTATGTGCTTATTATGCAAAATGGTTTTTAGGCAATATTGTGGAAATATCTGAAGAAAATCAAGATATTCTTATAAAGCTCATGAAGCAATCTATTTTCTTAAACACTTTTACTTGGCCACAAAAGAAGATATTTGCTGGGTTCCAATAACGGGTTCTGCACGTTTATTGCAAAATTTCATTTTCAAAAGTTCAATCAACTACTGGTAGATGCTATGAACTATCAGCTTAAATAAAACTGAATTATTACATTTATACATTAGAATAAACAACATAATTAAATAACAATGTAGCAAAAATATTATAAACTTGATTTATTTGTTTTAAACATAGCTTTTTAGCAAAAATATATTTAAAAGACTTAATGTTTATATTGATTTTTTATTAAATAATAATACTCTTTATTACATAATCAACTTGTGCATTGTATTGAAAAAATATTGTAGTCATGATATTAAATATTAGGTAAATTAGACTAAAAGTCTTTCTTTTCATTTTTACTTAATAGGCTACTTTTAAGTTTTATACGCAGTCTTTTTACTGACTAACATTAAAAACTGAATTTTACAGTTTTTATGTGTTAAGCAGTGTTTTTTGTGTGTTAAGTGGTGTGTTGGGCATAAAGGCACATCTTTCATTAGACATAAAACTGTGTAAGGAGAAGTTTTCAAATTACAATTTTTTACTAAGTTCTGGACAAAAATGTGCATGTTAAAAAGTAAATGGAAGGGGAGGGAGGGGTTAGAGAGCGACAAGGAAGAGCTCAGGCTACTTAAAAACTGAATTTAATTCAGGCTTGATTAAAAAGTTATTTCTAATACTGATTACAAAATACTTTTAAATTCATATATACTTTGTAGTACAATAAAAAATACAAACTAAAGTACAACAACTTTATTTGTATTGTTTTTAATGCATTAACTTAATTTGTATTGTTTTTAATTTTAATTAATGCAACAACTTTATTTGTATTGTTTTTAATGCAATTTTCATTGTTCTGATTTTGTTACTTCTCTATGAGTATCCCCTATTTTTTTTTCTGAAATTACTGTTATAATTTCTATTAAATTAGAAGGAAAAAAACTCTTATTAAAACAGTGTTGATCCTATGTTACCGGTGGTTTAAAGTGTAGGTACATTTTCCTAAGTTTTAGCAACAGCCATTTTAAGAATTCCATAATTTTTAACTGAATTGTATCTTATCAGTGAATTTCTAAAAATTTAGAAGCCCACTATTTATAGAAACTAAAAAAATATGTCTTTTCACTTCTTAAATTGCAGGTTTTGTATATTGACTCATCAAAAATCAACTTTTTTATATTTGCAAACAGTTTTTTTAGGTTTTTTAGGTAGCCATTATTAAGTTTTATTAAAGTAAAACTAGAGTTGTATACAATAAAATAACTAGAAGGTTTTCCGAAATTTTTTGTTTAAATATAGAGCTTTAAAGTATGAAAAAAAAATATTTTCGCAACTGAAGTTTTTTTTATGAAAAAATCAGATATTTAAATTGACCATATCTTATGAGCCACAAAAGATTTTATGTTGAAAATTTCAGGAAATGCTTTTCTTATTGATATTATCCAACCCACCAAGTTTCATCAAAATCTGAGCATGTCAGACTTAATTGAAAGCCTTTGATATGTCAAGAGCACAAGCTTTTGCTTCATTGCTTTCATCTAATGCATGATAAAAACTTTTTGCTATAATAAGCAGAAGAATAAGATCAAAATCTGTATTAATTCTCAGAGAGATTGCTAATAATAGTAAGAAAATTGTTTCTCCGTGCAATATTAAGCCAACTTGTTCCTCCGTGCAGCAGCTTTGTTTGTCAAGGTCCGCGTTTTGGAGTTATAGAGTTGAAAGAGGGTTATAACCACAATTAAAGTAGCTTCCTTGACTGTAGTGGCCTTCTCGGCCCTGTGGAGATGAATTAACATTAAATAAAAAAGTAGTAAGAAATTTGATTGGGTGGCAGTTAGAGGGGTTAGAATAATCACCAGAGTTTTTAAAATTTGAAACCAGAGGCTTTTTTCCAGCAGAAAAAAAGTTTACAGAGTAATAAAGAAAATTCTGGAGAACACTCAACAATGTGCCAAGAAGCCTGGATTATAAGCCAGGATTTAGCAACAAAAATAATTTGGCTGTCTAACAGTGGATAGATATTTTTTTTGGTGAAAGAAGAAAAAAAAAAAAAATGAAAAAAATGCAGCATATTTTTTTAAGTTTGTTAACAATATTTATTTTAAATCACATTATTTTATATTTTAAAGATATAGAAAGAAAGCAGCTTAAACATTCTATTAACAGTCTAAAAGCATAACTTAATTTTAATTAAAAGTTTTTCATTAAAATTAGATGTTTTTGAACTCAGCACCAAAAATTTCAATATTCACATCTGACTTAGAATAGCTTAAACCTGAGTTTTAAAAGCAATACAAATATTTTATCCTTAGAAGTTGTTGTCGGCACTAAATTTAGGCAAAGTTCCTATTTACCTTATGTGCATGCAATAAAAGTACAAGCATTTTTAATAGCAACAATTTTTTAATACAATTTTTAAGTCTCTAGACTAATTCATTTTAAAAATGAATATAAAAGAATAAGTTTTAAAAAAAAAACACAACAACAATGCTTTACAAAATATATTGTTTGTTTGGCCAACAAAAAAATATTTTTTTGTTGCCAAACAAACAATATATATATTTTGTAAAGCATTTTATAATTTGAATTCAAATGTGCAACCTATTTTTCACCACCATATCAAGTTATCAAGATATTTGGATTCAAATCTATAGCATTTAGGGGTAAAATTTCTAATAATGTCAACAACAACAAAAAAACTATTTTAAAGTTTCAACTTGGGTCTTTATTTAAAAGTGTACTTTCATAGAGGTTTTAAAAATAATATTCTTTTTTAATAAAAATAATTCTTTTTCAATAAAAATAAATTTTATAATATTGGTGAAAAACATTTTGCTAAAACTGTTTTTTATCATTACTATCTAAGGCTATTATAAAAATAAAAACAATTTAAAAAAACCCTTCAAAACAAATAGTATAACACATATCAAGAAAAGGGTGTAAAATTAATAATTACTATTAACTGAAACACCAGTATTAATGGTTTCAAAATCAAGGAAATATTGTATAATATTATACTAAAATTCAAAAGGGAATGAGAAACCAGTGAAAAAAGCAAATGATATTTAAATTTGACTTACAGACTGTTATTGGTTTACGCCTGGATCATGACAAACAGATGTCTTCACAGGTTTTAATTCTGGAAGTGAAACTAAATGTGCTGACTTAATAGTCACAATATTTTTTTGTAATTTTGTAATAAATTTTAAATAAAAAAAAATGTTTTCTAAAATCTATATGAAAATTGGCTTAACTAAATTGTTTGTTAAAAAAATGATTTATTGATCCCAGGTTATGATTTAGTTTTAACCTTGTTTTCATTAACTTTTAAGAAATACTTTAAGACAGCAAAAAAAAAAAAAAAAAAAAAAAGGATTCATTATTACTATAAACAAATAGAAAAAAGCAAAAACAGCAAAAAGAAAATATTAACTTACCACAGTGATCTAAATGAAAATGACTAATAAGCAGTAGATCAACTTCTCCAGGATCAATCTCATCAATAAAAGGTAATGAATCTAATCCATTATAGCCAGGATGAATCCCTAAATCTAACAAAAGCTTCTTGCCTTTAAACTCAATAAATATACATGATCTCCCAACTTCTTGGCCAGCTCCAAGTGGCGTAATTCTTAATAAATCACTTTCTTCACTAGTAGCCATAATTACTAAATTTAATTTACATAATAATAAAAATCATTGTGGTTATTATTGCATATTATTGAGTGTGTCTATATAGATATGTGCCTATATATATAATATATATAATATATATAATATATATATATATATATATATATATATATATATATATATATATATATATATATATATATATATATACACTTACTAAAGCGTGTTTTGATAAGCATTTGCTCACTTTTTATGCTTACTTTAAGGAAAACTGTTTTTTTCGAAAAAGAAGAAGAAAAAAAACGAATAATAATAAATGAAACGATTGCTTCCCCATCCCAAACCCTCAGTCGATGTAGCAGCACTTCACTGCGAGTCAGGCTATTTGTCAGTCGTTGTATGTACTGAAGCCCCCAGCAGCCGGCTATTTCAGTATGACGTCAGATTGCTTACCAAAGTACTCAATACTATTTGTATATATATATATATATATATATATATATATATATATATATATATATATATATATTTATATTTATATATATATATATTTATAATTAGCAATATTTATTACAAATCTAATATTATGTGTGTATATATATAGGGTTGGCTATGGCTATATAATATGTGTGTATATATAGGGTTGGCTAACAGCCTGTACATTTTGCACTTTAACATCTAGTGGGTAAAAAACACAAAAGTTACTACTTCAAACATCAAGCACTGTTAGAAGTGCATAGAAATATCAGGTAAAACTATCTGTCTCACATTTAAAAATTATCCACTTAAAGTATTTTTTAGAGGGTTTAAATGATGGATTAAAGTCACCACCTTGTGTGTTGGGGTGACTTTGGCCCAACCCAGTAAAAAAGGGACTAAAAGAATCAATAAAAATAAAAATGTTAAGGTACAAAAAACATGAATTGAAAAAAATAAGGTTTTTAAAAAGATTTTGTAAAAAATCTTACATTAGGAGCATAAAATATTTAGGTACCAAGTCAACAAGTTATGATTTTGTAATTTTTATGTGATACATTTTAAGTCATATGATTCTAGAGGAAATATTTTTTCTATTTTGTAGATATAGATTAAGCACATATATCTCTAAAAGCCTAATGGCTAGCCATCAGGCTTTTAGAGATATGTGCTTAATCTAAATTTAATACTGATATGGATATTCTGAATTTTGAACCTAAAATTATTTTTAAAACTGTTAATACATTTGGTGTACCTAATCTAAAGTACAGGTAACAGGTTTTCTGCTTACATAATTTGTTTAGAACTTCGAGGCATATTTAAACTAAAAACTGAAGTAGTTTTACAATTATATGGATTTTGTATTTTATTACTGGTTAATATGTTTAATAATCCTAATAAGTATTATTAGAACACATTAACTATCTTAATACTTACAAATAATCATTAAAATTATTTCATAACAGTTAATTTTTTAACGACATTTGGTGTTTTTAGCCTGGGCCTAGAGCCCCAGTTACAAAAAAAAAAATTATAAAACTTTAATAATCATTAGCTTAACCTATAAACTAGGTTCCTAGTTTTAAAAGTTTTAACTTATATAAATTTCATAGATTAAAGTAAAAATGTAGTTCGAAATAGCACAGTATTTTTAAACTAGCATTAAAAATACTGTGTGCTATTTTTAAAAAAATATGCTAATCTGGCATCGTTTTTTTTTTTTTTTTTGACATTGTTCTAATTGTAATTAACTATTTGTAAGTTATGGATTTGAAATAACCTAAATTTTGCACACAAAAAAATGAAAAGTTACATATAATAAGGTTTTTACATCTTTTTGGTAGAAAAGGACTGAAAAATTTAAACACGAGCGCCTTGAAAAGTTCCGCATCCAACAATTTACCGACTATGCGGACACTCGGTACAACTACCATGCACTACGTACCAACTGGTCCAGAACAGCCTTATCTAAAATCGGATTTACAGTATCTGACAAAACAAGTGCAACCAAATAATGCTACTTAATATAAAAGTTTTCAATTTAGAGAAATAACTATGCAACTGTTTAGAGACAACGTTCTTTAAGTTTTATTCATCACAAAGTTCATTATTTGTAAACGAAAATTATTAAATTAATCAAAAGTTATAAAAAAAAATTGATTTCCTTCTGGACAAAACAAGTTCAACTCCACAAAATATTGACCAAGCTATATTTCGCTATCAAAATTTTTTGGCAAATCTTTTGTTGTTGATCTTAGTCTTGTCTCTTGGTCTTTTGGATTTATTCAAACAAGTGATCCTTATTACGAACACCTTCACGATTAATTCTGCAGTTGACGATCTCCCACAGGTTTTCGATAAGGTTGAGATCCGGAGATTGAGGCGACCAATCCATCACCGATAGATGGTTGTCTTGAAACCACTGCTTGACTACTTTTGCTGTGTGATTCAGATCGTTGTCTTGCAGAAAAATTCATTTTATTGGCATATTCCATTCAGCATGAGGTAACATAACATCTTTCAGAATATTTGTATACATGAATCGGTTCATTATTTCATCGATTCGATGTAACCTAGACCGTTAGCAGAAAAACACCCCCAGACCATTACATTGCCTCCACCATGCCTTACTGTCTTATGGCAGTAACGTAAATCGAGGCGTTTTCCGGCCGGTCGACGAACACGGCCGGAAAACGCCACTAATTGCTTTTGTATCTCGACTGATGATATCCAGGGATCTTTCTTGACGGATCTGACGATCATAGAATCCTCTCTAGAAGTGGTGGAACGCGGTCTTCCACCTTTGTTATCTGCTGCCAACTTCCCCGTAGAACGATATTTGGATCATAGTCTTGATATGGTCCATTTTTTTTTACGCGATATTTATCAAAAATATTTTTGTGACATTCCACTACGTAATCGCCAACAATTTTCTTTCTTAGTTTTAATCTAAAACTGTCGGGAGCCATTTTTGCACTTGAAGTCATAAAAATAATTAAAATAAATAATCACGCTTCTCAAGGCTTACCGTGTTACATTTACCTTGTGATGATACAATAATGCTCTGTAGAACTCAACGTCTTGGTTGGATGTGGACTGTATTGATGTAATGAAACCCTAGTTGTATTTCACTTCTCGTATCGATGTTCTTTGATAAAACACTTTGACAAAACTCACTTCAATAAACTGTCTTGATAATACTGACTGATTGACTTCCATATACTGACTGAATTACATGTCGGTTTACGTGTCTCTTATATAATTAAATGAACCTGTGTGAACCTGTTCTGGAAGATTCTAGATGCTTCTTTTTGATGCTTCTGGATGCTTCCAGATGCTTCTTCTAGAAACTTCTGGAAGCTTCAGGATACTTCCTTTAATTATTTAAAAATTTCCGTGACGTTGACACGGATCAGACTTAAGAAAATGAAAAAAAAACAAAAAAGTTGCACTTATTTTGTACGTTGCAAAATGGCACTTTTCAACGAAATTATGCCTGTGTGCTGTCACCAGTCAGCTGATTGCTCATGTCATGGCATGCTATGACTCCAGACTCTTGAACTGTTTGCTGTGGTAGTATAGTTCGTTTCGTTTTTAAGACATGTAAAAATAGGAACACTTTTTAGCATTGTTCGATGTTGGTTGCAAATGTTTTGTCCAATACTGTATATAAGAAATTATTCGCCTGTCGTGTTAAAAATGATTAGTGCAAACTTATCAATAACATAAAAACTATAAGATGCTGGTTTTTAGAAAAATTGCAAAAGGAAAGTATATTATATTAAAGTAATATAAAGTTATAAGAAATAATATTTTTTAATACGTCAGTTGCTTGCAGGGTAAGGAGGATGGATTGTTGAGAAAGTTGAACTCTTCATTGCTTAAAGTGCTTCTGCAATCTGATTATATTTATAAAATGTAATAACTAAGAATTCAAAGAGTAAAACAAATTGTTGCGTTAATTAAAGGCCTATAGTAACTCATGGTAACTGCACTTTTTTATTTATTTATTTTTTTCGATGGCAAAATGGTTTCAAGACTTTATTGTGCGTTTAAACAAAAACACATTTATCATTATTCATATTCGTTTATCATTGTATAAGCTAATTGTATACGTTGACCACACATATAGCTAATTGTATACGCAGATCACACATAAAGTGAATTACTTTCTATTTAAAACAATACGTCTTGTATGCCGTAAAACGCAATACCATCTTAAAAACTCTTACACCGTTAAAATGCTCTATCATCAATACCAAAAACAATATTTTGAAATATTCTTGCTCTCGCAGTAATTACTGACATTTATATATTGCTCTCCCAGTAAATACTGACATTTTATCCATCCCCAAAAAAATCTAATCTTTAAAGCGGGTTGTTTACAAAACATATACAAAGTATTTTTGCTTTTTTTAGAATCTGGTTCTTTATTTTATTTATTTATTTTATTTTATAAGTATTTATTCAAATTTGCATAGCATATAAATAAATCTTACAATTTCTTCTTCATGATATATCTAGAGTATTATTCTCTTAGGTTAAAATGAATTACTTACAAAGGTATAGGTTTATCTCGAAGTATACGTAAATATTTCTAAACAAGCGTTTTTTGATACAATGTAGTGTTGGCAGTATTGGTTTTTTATAATAATCTGTCAGGGTTTCTGCGTGTGGTTTGAGATTTTGAAGCTATTGCATGTGTTGGGTTAGATAGGATTTTCTTAAGTAATTTTATATTTGTTTTTCTTTGATATTGTGACAGATATTGCGTTGGTGTGAGTTTATGGCATAAATCTCAGTAACTTTGAATAATTGTTTGTGGAGTAGTTGTAGCTCTTTTTTTGCTGCAATACTGCAAGACAAGAGTAAAGGGGCGTTGTACATAATGTGAGTGTGTAGGATCTATAAATTTGAAGTAGGTTTAATTGAGTGTGACCAATTTTTTATGGCGCTATAGTAAGTAGGGTACTGACTTATAGTATAATGAACTTTTATCCATTAATCATCCCAGTTAAGATTTTTGTTTATTAGGATTCCAAGGTACTTGTTGCAATCAACTGATTCGAGTTTAGAGTTTAAAAAGAATTTGAGAAGGAATTACAACTTAATTAGGGTAACGACTCTCTATCGATAATGTTTTGCATTTTAAATGATTGAGTTTCATACCATTCATAGTAGTCCAGTTCGCAACGCCATCCAAAATAGATTGAGGTAGGTTTTTTGCATCTTTGTCATAGATGATGTAAGTTAATATATCATCGGCGTATTTTTGTAGGTTTGTCTTGTGTTGTAAAAAATCATTCATATCATGTATGAATAATATAAATAAATAGGTTCAAAAACGCTACCATGAATAACTCCAGGTTTAATACATTTCCATTCGGTTACATGCAGGAAGAAACCCAAATTGTTTATTTATGGTCTACATATGATTTGTATTATTAACAATAAATATAAACAAGATACAAGGTATTCAAAGATTTAATATCTAGACCTAGGTGCTATTAAATCAGAGTACTACCACACAACTCATCAGTGCTACCATACATCTCATCAGTGCTACCACACAACTCATCAGTGCTACCATACATCTCATCAGTGCTACCACACAACTCATCAGTGCTACCATACATCTCATCAGTGCTACCACACAACTCATCAGTGCTACCATACATCTCATCAGTGCTACCACACAACTCATCAGTGCTACCATACATCTCATCAGTGCTACCATACATCTCATCAGTGCTACCATACATCTCATCAGTGCTACCATACATCTCATCAATGCTACCATACATCTCATCATTGCTACCACACAACTCATCAGTGCTACCACACATCTCATCAGTGCTACCACACATCCGATCAGTGCTACCATACAACTCATCAGAGTGCTACCACAAATCTCATCAGTGCTACCACACAACTCATCAGAGTGCTACCACACATCTCACCAGTCTGAATAATAAGTAGGAATAAAATAGCTCAAGAAAAATTTAAAATTTTATTAGAGGTAAACTGAGCAAACTTTTTATTTGTAGTCTGTGATAAAAGTTTTCAAAATCTTAATATCTTAATAAACTTATCTTATCAAATTTTTCTTTAAAAATTTTCCTTGCTTTAAACTTTTCTTTTATAGCAATGTCTTGCTTTAAACTTTTCTTTTATAGCAATATCTTGCTTTAAACTTTTCTTTTATAGCAATATCTTGCTTTAAACTTTTTTTTATAGCATTGTCTTGCTTTAAACTTTTCTTTTGTAGCGATAAAAAAAAGCTTAAAACTTTTAAGAAGTTTATTTACAAATTTTTGGTCAGTTCTTAAATAATAAAAGCAAAGCACATTTTGAAATATACTTACCAATGTTACTTATGAAAAATTTTTAATCTCTCTCACTGAAAGATTAGCCGTTTGTTAAAAGAAAAATCGCCAAATAACTTTGTAGATTATTGGTATTATACATTTTCGTGACTTATGTATTTAAATTTTTAAAAGATTTTTTGTTGTTGTTGCTACCAGTAACTAATTAATATTAGTTAATAACTGTGATACCATTGAATAACTGTGATACCATTGAATAACTGTGATACCAGTGATTAACTGTCATACCAGTGAATAACTGTTTTACTAGTACCAATGAATGACTGGTATTAATTCGATTACTAGTTGGATTGTTCAAAAGTTGGATAAATTAATTTTTTCACAATGGAAAATGACTGAAAATATTATTTATTTTGAAAAACAAACTCAGCTTATTTTTTACTCTGCTTTGAGATAGTAAAATAAGGTTTTAAAAATGTTCATTCAACGTGTTCCATATTGTTTACAAAATTAAAATCATACTTGCACAGACTATATAAAGTTTGGAAAAACCAAAGGATACTTACGAACTATGGTTGACAGCTAGCAAAAAGAAATTTCATTGTTTAACAGAGCTAAAGCAACAGATTAAAAACGAATGATATACTTTTTTGAATTTGAGTTTTTAAAGTGTCGCTATCTTACATTTATTTGTGAAAGTATCCATTTTTATAGATATCTATGGAGTTCCTTAACCTAATATTGTTTGAACTTTATTTGGAGATCAAAAATTTTATTTTTTTTGCGGTTAGGTTAATGAAGTTTGCTACACCATAAAACTGAATAGCCTGTAGACCAGACATTGCAAGTCTTGAATAATTACCTTTTCTGTTTAAGCAAAAGCTTAAATCACTAATGTTATTATTACTATATATACTTATATTATATATACATTATCATTATATTATTATCATTGTCATTATTATTGTACCACTAATGATATCAGAAACAATTTTATTTATTGTCTATCCGACTGTACATTCTGAAGTTATTTCATTTAGAATGTTATCAGTATAAATGTTAGTAAATGTGGCATAATAAGTAATTGTTTTACAATTAAACCACCTTACAACAGTCTGAATTGGTTAAAGGTAAGCCCATGTAAGAAATGTTTGCAGAACCATAAATGTAAATAAATTAAGTAAAATATGCACTGCAAACAGCAAATACGTTCTTTGTAATAGTAGTTGTCAAATAAATAAAAAATCCGAATTGTATTGAAATCCTTATGGAAACTTAAACTGAACAACTTTTTTTTAACATTTTCACTTCTAACAAGGCTGCAGCCAACCGCTATTTAAGTTTGAAGTTACTGCAAGAGAAAAGATGAAGTTTATAGAGCAAGATAACAATTAAACGACCACTTAAAAGATTGCAAATTATATGAATCAGGAAAACAAGATGAAGGAAGCGACATCAAAAGAACTGATGTTCGAGGAAAAAAACTAGACAAATAAGAATTTTTGGAGAGAAACAGTCACAGTTAAAGTCTGAGACTTTATTGAATGACGAGTAACACGAGAATGAATTTTAGTATATGGCACATAAGACGTTGTAGAAGAGTCTATGCAGGAAATCACTTTAGATGCAGAAGCTGGAGTGATACAAAGATCAGTCAATGTATTAACCTGTTTTTCGGCTGTATCAGGTAGAACACAATTAGTAGAATCAAGAAATGATATTGATGAGAAGTTCTTAGCAAACAATTCAGCTTTTTCTTTAGGTGAAGTGACAAAGTCTGAACTATACAAGCAGGGCCGGCGCGAGTAGGTGTCACGTGGGGGTGCCATGATAACTCTTGCCGACTTAAAAAAAAAAAAAAAAGATCCTCATTTTCGAAAATTTGCCGACTGCCATGACGACATTTGTCGACTAACTGCCTAGATTACCGACTAACCTATATCGAAAGGGTCGACATTTGCCGACTAACTAGTTAAAAAGGGTCAAATTTGCCGACTAAGGGTCAATAAGTTGTTGCCATAAATTAAATAGGTATGTATAAAGGAAAAATATAAAGACTTTTTAAGGACCTAACATCTAAAAAATGGTTTTGCTTTATACACCATTGCAATGTTTATTGAAAGTTTTCTTTTAAGAGTGCTTATATGATTACTCCACGATAAATTTTCGTCTAAAATAACACCTAAAAAGTCTACAGATGTTTGTCTAATAATATTTATATCATTAATTTTAAGATTGGATAATTTTAAAGGAAGGTTTCCTGTTTTGGTTGGTTTTTGAAATAAAATAAACTTAGTTTTGTTAACGTAAAGTGAATGTTTATTACAAATAAACCGTTTACATTGTTTACTTCTTCATTAACTACTTTAATAAGGGTTTTATGAAACAGGGTTTTATAAAACAGAGAATAAAACAGATTGCAGTCATCCGCAAACAAAAGAAAATTTAAAAAGTTTGAGGTAATAGATAGATCCTTTATGTAAAGAGAAAAAAGTAACGGTCCTAAGATTGAGACTTATGGAACTCCAAATGTTTTTATCTCTCGAAAAAAAATTTAAGCTCTTAAAATATTTTAATTTTTTTATCAGCATTCTTTTTTATGATAATCTGGTTTTCTTTGCGCGGTTGGTAACAGCGTGGCAAAACTAATTAAAATTTTCAATTACAATTTTTTTTACAAGAGTTATGCTTATTCATAAGTCAGAAATTATACTTTATTTAAAAATAGTTTTGAAAGTAAATGTTTTCTTTATTATTCAAACACTGCTTTATAATACTTTTTTTCAAAATAAAATATTTTTTTAAAAATGTTTTGTTTATTATTTTTTATAATTCTTTAGTCTAAATTAAAGATGATTTTGAAAAAAATAAAATTCACAAATGGAGTGTTTTTTTTATACACCTGAGTGTTAAATATAAATATAAATAAGTTATTGTTTTAAACATATGATTTGCGTTTAGATTTTATCTTGATATAAACTTATACTTTGTAAGCATTAAGTTAATTCCAATAATTACTAGTAATGTTTTTTTAATTAAAAATTCTAAGCGGACGATTCCTATGTAAACTAAAGTTCGTCCATAAATTACACAACACTAAGTTTATTTAAAAAATGGTAGAAGATCGCTCTTTTACGCGGCGATTTTATTTATTAAAGGCAAAATAACTTAATGAACTGTTTGACTTAAAGCTCAGCGAAGGAAAACTTTTGACCTTTTTTGTTTTGTTTATTAGTGAAATTTAGCATTGCGTAATTTATGGACGATCCCTTAATGGACTAACAAATTTAAACGGCCTGGAATCAATGAAAAAAATAATATAGATGCATAACTATTTATGTATACTATGAAAAGAATTTGTAAAAGAAAATTAGCTTTTTAAATATTTACTAATAAGTACTTTCTCTTATTATTTTACCATAATGTAAATTGACAAAGACGTTCTTCTTTATTACGTTCTACTTTATTCTTTATTATTTATAAGTATTAAAATTTTTATTGTCATAAAAATTTTTTTTTGACAAAAATAATCACGGTCAACTTTTCATAATTTTTAGTTTAGAAAAAACTGAGTTCACAAGCTGTGTTAACACAAGCTAGTTGTGTAAAAGATAAAAGTTGAGACAATGTTATCTGCAAAATATTTTTAGATAACTACTTAGAACTCCATAATCATGTAATCAGAATATAACTAGCTGGTATTGTGGTTTATCTTCCACCGGCTAGTTGCCATACAGAGGTCACATTACCAAGGCCCGCCAAGATAAATTCAGCTCACTTAAGAGCATCGTAACCTGCTTCGCAGACAAACGAAGGAAATTGAGTGACATTCAGAAGAAGACGAGCTAGAAAGATAGCATAAAGAAAGCGGACAGGAATTGCACGAGCTGTTAGAATGTCCAATTCATACTATTAATTAGGTTAAATTAATGTATTTGTATAAACGCAGTTTTTATAAGTATAAACATTTGTTTATACTTGTTATAACTACTGTTTATACAAGAATATAACTATAATGTTATAAAAATGTTATAATAATGTTTATCAGAATATAATTAGCCTATATGAATGAAGTTTATCAATCCAAAGTAATTGACACTTTGACTTATTTAAAAGAAAAAAGTAAACCACAAAATAAATTTATAAACATTAAACCATGGTACCATGATATGTGAATATATGTTTATTTTACTAATTGTCATCAAACGAGCCGGCGTTATTGAATTAAAGTGGTTCAAAGAATGTTAAAAAAAATAAATTAAAAAGGCAACCAGCTAAAATCAAATTTGAAAATTAACCGGAAATTTAACAGTTAGCATAAAATTAGTTGAAAAACAAAAAAAATATATTTTATAAATCTGATGAGAAAATAATACATGCATCTTATAGATTGAACTATATAATATATAATCTGATGAGAAAATAATACATGTATCTTATAGATTGGACTATATAATATATAATCTGATGAGAAAATAATACATGTATCTTATAGATTGAACTATATAATGTATTATGTATATCATACATTTCTCATAATATTATATAAATGAAACACATTGAATTTTTGTTTGAACATCTCATAAAATCTAAATATCATTTTAATACTCGCAAAGTTTAATTGTAACCTGCACAAGGTGTAATCAAATTCTACTATAAGAATCCGTCAGAACACCTCTTAATTACCACCAAAATGTTCATCAGTATTTTAATATACTGACAGTGCCGGATCAAGGAGGCGGAGGGGGGGGGAAGGCTAGACTTAATAGCCCCGGCCCCAAGAAGTCTTAATCCGCCACTGAATACTGATGAATAAATTATAATTACTACCAAAATATTCATCAGTAATGTTTATTAATTCGACATAATCTTTACAAATAAATGAAAATAAATTAAATAAATTAAAATAACAATTTAATTTTAAAATCTTTTTACATTTCTTATTTTAGTTTCCACAATAAAAGTTTAATCTATTTTTGCTTTAAAAAAAGATGTTACCCTTAATCTAGCTACACTACCAACGCGGACACTGACAACAACGCCTGAAAATAAAACGTAAAATAACCAAGATAAGCAAGATTTTTTTCTAGAAAAGTCAACAACGTTTCTAAAACATTTCTTAAGCGTTTTGAATTAAAAAGATAGAAATTACTATTTTTTACATATCCGTGTTAGCTTGTTTTTTTTAATTTCTAGTTAAAATCGTTTCCATCAAGGAGTAGATTGTTTTCAATTCTATTCTTTTTTAAGAACTTTTTATTATGCATTGACCATCGAGTTGACTTTGAAGGCATACAAAAAAAACGTCGAATACCCTTTTTTTTCTGGGAAGGGCTTTCAGCAGCCAAGTCAGTACAAGTCTCTTCTTTACTGAAACTATCAGAACGAGAGTTTTTCTTTTGCACTTTTTCAACTGTATGCGGAGAGTTGTTTGGTGAGCAAGATGGGCTTGATTGTCCGACTTCAACTGTATTAGTATCAATATCGTTACCATAACTTTCGTCGTCATCAAGTGAATCGAAAACATTTTCATAGCCACAACATTCATCAACGACAATAGAATCTAATAGTGGCTTTGGAGTTGATTTAAAACTTGATAATCGTCTCATTTTTCTGTTCTAAAGAAATTGTGTTAAGAAAAAAATATAAGTTTTATTTTCAATAATGATTAAGTATTGATTCATAAACACAATTTTTTTCCAATAATTATTGATAAAAAATGTTTTATTTCCAATAAAAATGGAGTGTTGATTGAGTACATAAGAAAGTGTTGTTCTCTTAAATAATATTTTACAAAAGAACGTGTTATTCTTTTAAATAAACTTAGAAAAAAGATTGTGTTTTTCTTTTGGTTACTATTGATACCATATTAAAACATAGTTATCCAAAACTTTCTCTGAAAAAACATTTAACTAAAACAGGATATAATAGGTGAAATGCAAATGCTGCAGTATTTACCAACTAATATTTAAAAAATATATAATTTTAAAAAATTAATTTATCAATGAAATAAAAAGTAAAACTTATTTTATAAAAAAGTATAAATTTCTCAAGTATACTTACATGAATTTACACGTATTTTCACATATATGTACATCCTTATTTTATACTCTTATAAATTCTCACGTATTTTAACGTACATTCTCATGAAAAAACTTTAATAGACCAATTAAAGGTATTATATAAAAATACGAGAGCAATTGCAAACATCAGGTTTTTTAAAAATCTTTATGCAATGTTATTATGTAAATATATATGTTGAAATAACATGAAAGTTATTTGCAGTTTTGGTAACTTGATAATCTACGTTATATTTGTTGTGTTAAAGATTTTACCTCTTAAAATTTATCTACAAATGTATACATGCGCATAAACATGCACATTTAGCATCTTAAACAAGTTTTTAAACAATTATAATGTATGGGAAGCCATAATGAAAGTTAGGAAATAGCTAACAATTTTAGTAAATATTTTTGCAAAAAGCAAGTAAAATGCTATAAAAAGTACCTGTTTATGTTGCGCTAATGCCAACAAGCAACCAGTAAGAGAGTGATCGACTAGAACTAGATTAAGAATTTGTTCGAGCTGCTCTATTGTGCAACAAGAGCTTACGGTGTCTTGAGTAAGTTTATTAACGAGCTCTGAATAAACTTCTCGTTTACTTACTCGACCTGTAAATATAAAAAAATCGAAATTAAATTTTTTTTTTATAAATCATAATTTTTTATAAATGATAAATCATAGTTTTTATAAATCATACAATTTAATGTTAAACATTTTCAACCTTTTTAAATAATACTCTAACGTGGTTTAATATTTATATTAAATATTTATTATTTATATTAGTTATGTTACCAAAAAATGTTTTCAAGAAAATTATTGTATTTCTGTCCCTAAAACTTTGTTGAAACAAATATATTTAAATGTTTCTAAAAATTTATAAAAATATTTTTGAATATTAAATAATTAAGATGGTGTCAAATGTTCAATATTTTTTAATCTTAGAAGAAGTTTATTTCTGAGATTTTATCTATAACTACAAAAAAAATATTTATTATAAATTTATTCTTTACCTTCTTTCTGTTGTTCGACACGTCCAAGTGAGTTAACTAAATCATGTCATGTTTTCGTTAACCATTAAGCAAATATTTGAATATATACTTTGCATATGTGTTTTTAGGAATTCGAATTATATTGGCATAAAATGCATTATATATATATATATATATATATTTTATATAATCATATTATAATTATGTTAAATATACCTATATAAAACATGACAATAATATGCTACATAGTGGTCTTGTTTTTTATATGTATATTTGATATGAAGGTTATAAAAAATCACAAACTATGTGTTTTTTATGCGATATGATTTTCAATAATCTATAGAGAGAGATAGGGTAATAGAAAGAGATAGGGGAACAGAAAAACCATTAAATTGTGTAGTAACTGCTTTTTAAAATTTCTGCTAAAAATATTTTTTTAGTAAAAACTCTAATTTTATCATTAACTGTCATTACATTAAAGATGAGAGCATTTCATTAAAGTTAAATAAAAAGAAGAAAATCCTTTTTTTTGACTTTTAACAATCTCAAAACAACAATTGAAATCACAATTCACAAAGTGTTTTACATTTTACTGATTTTTTTGTAGTTTATTACAGTTTTTTAGTATTTTTTCAATACCTGAAGTACCAGCAAAAAAATTACTGGAGCATGAAATGTAATAAAAACTTTATTATCTTTAAATTTTCCAAACATATCTTTTAAAAACAATATTCAAAATTTTTTACATTTGACAATTGATTGACACAATCTTGCTGTGACATTTTTTCTTTTGTTTATTTGATTAGTTTTTTTAGGAACTCTAAGAAAAAATGTTTTGTCAAGGAACGTAATGGAATACGATTAATGGAGAACACTATCTGATGTCTTCTTTACTAACGTCACTTTTATTTAAAATGTATAATTCCTAATTTGATGCTCAATCGGGGATTTTTCAATTTCAAAAGTCTAACCATTACGCTAATGATGCAAACCTCAATTATTTTTTAAAACTAAAAATTTTAAAAATTGCGACCCCTGAAGAGCGGGTGTATTAGTCAAATATAAATTTTTCACACCTCTTTATTACTTTTTTGACATAACAAATACATTTGTATTAAATGATGTTATTTATGTTGGTAAAATGAATTAGATTACAACGGTAAAGATAATATAAGACTGAGATAAGAAAACAAAGCTTTAACTTAACTTCGCTGTGTGATAGAATAAAGAATTTTGTCATTATTAAAAAATGAAACTTATCACTTTTATTTAAAGTTGTTTATTTATTTTATTTTTGTTTCTTAATTATCAATGGAATTAATTTAACTTTAAATATCAAAAAATTAGTAAAACATGTTAACAACCATATACTGTAGTTTTGTAGCAAACAATATTGTAACAACGTGTTAATGACATTGTAGCTTTAGAGCATGAAATACATCTATGTAAAAAATCAGTTTTTAACTAAATGCAAGTCAATTCTTGTGAAAATACTTGTAACTAAACAATCCTCAAGGAAAATACGGCAACCGATACTTTTAGCGCAGACTTTAACTAGTTATTAACTAATAATATTAACTGTATCTATGGTTACAAGTATTACTAGTTTTTATGGTTACAAGTATTAGTAGTTAGTTTCTAATTAATTTTCAAAAGGATGCAATTTATTGATCTTAGGTATGTTCATTATATTTACTTTTTCAGAGTATAAAAAATGCATTTCTAAGATAAAGGCGTATATTATATACTTTTTACTTACTTCATGGTATAAGTTAAACATAAAAATGTTTAATACATGTGGAGTAAATAATTCCGCAATCCCCCAGTGGGCACCGGACCTGAAAAAAACGTCTTTTGATCGTTCAAAAGACGTCCAAAACGTTCAAAAGACGCTCAAAACGTGTTACTGCACTAGTGTAACACTCACCCACTAAATCGTTTTTACCACAAAAGTAATGTTATACAAATGTTCCGTAGTGTATATGAAACATGTCATAAAATCACTCGACATTTAAATTTGACTTTGAAACCTCATTAAAGACATGTTAAATTTAGGAAAACACTAAATCCAATCCTTCAAAGTGCAATCTAAATTTTACTGACCGATGCGATCTCCAACGGAAATATAGTTGTACTTTAAAATAAAAGAAACTCTGAGATTTTTAATAACATTTATTAACATTTTTATTTAATATTTATTATTAATCATGTTATTATTAATAATATTTTCGTTTAATATCAATTTGATAACATTTATATCACATTGTAAATGCCGTAATCGGGTCTAGAATTTTTAAAAACTGTTCAAACAGCACTTTGACGGATTGGATTTAATGTTTCCCTTAAATTTAAAGATGAGTTTCCACTCATCCGTTTTTTCACGGGCACAAGAAAAATAATCACGTGGGCATGCGTATTATAAGTTTTAATATGTCCGAAGTAAAACTGCGCATGCTCAAGTGATTCTTTTTCCCTTTCCTATCCCGTTCCCGTAGAAAAACGGATGAGTGGAAACTCACCTTAACTCGTTTTTAATGACGTTTTAAAATGACGCGTAATTTTAAGACTGGTTTTACACTCGTTACGAAAACTCATTAAAATCCTTATGTAAAAGGTTTTAACGAATAATAAAAATTTAATATCTAACTTGGTGCTTTGGTAAACAGTAATAATTAGTTTAAATCTTGTTCTTGACACGTGTTATTCTTTTTGTTTTAGGAGTTTTAAAACAGGCACCAGAAATCAAACTAAGCAATGTCAATTTCATATTTTTAGCAGCATTCAATAATTTTAGTTAAATTAATGAACTAGTAGTTGTGGCGAAAATAATAACAAGAACTAAAAACACGCAAAACATTATAAATAACAATTCAAAATATTTCATGAATATAGAAATGTATCAAACATATATAAGTATGTTAGTTTGCATCATTTAAATGAAATTTAAAAATACGAAAAAGAAACTTTTTGTTCTATTACAAATAAACGATAAGTTTATAAACTAAAAAGGTAAACGATAAAGTTTTTATTATTATTTAGTAATCTGCCTATTCAGCTACTTTAATTATTATTTGATATTCGGCCAAATACCAAATACTATTTGTATTGAAGAAAACGCATGTAAAAAGGATTATGGGAAAACAGAACAAAATAACGAATGAGGCAAGATGACTTTATATATAACAACTCAACAAAAAAACTTTAAGATTAGAACGAAAGTTTAATCATATTAAGAAAAAGTTAATTAAATATTTTTTACTATTCTCAACTAAATCTATAGATCTAAATGTAAATCTATTTATCAAGTAAATTTAAAACTCATAAAAATATCTCTTAAATTTAAAAAATTATGACCATATAAAGTTTAACCCCGGCCCTCCCTTATTTTAACGGGATAAGAAAATTTAGGTCATAATTTTGGAATGCTTAGAGATTATTTTACAAAATTAAAAATTTCTCAATGAATATAATTAGTTAAGAGTAGTAAACAAAATAGTTTTTAAAACTTGTTACTCTCATATTTGGGTAGGTGTTGCTAAAATTTTAAGGGTTTTTTGTTCCCAGGCTCCACTTATTGCATTTTTTTGCAAAACATCCTCATTTTACATAAGTATAAACATAACTGTATATTTATATAACATAAATCTGGAATTTAGCCATCTCAAAAATTAAAAAATGCTGCATCCGCTCTGTACATGCGTACATGAGCTTCGCTGATTTAGAAATGGCTATTTTCCATATTGCATATAATTTTAGTTCTAAAGAAATCTTATCACATCAGATAACATATTACAAATAAATATTTTTCTAACAACTATCAATCTAATTACTAACCTTCTTTTGAGCCAAATTTGGAATCATGAAACACTTCTTCAACAAACTTTGTAATTTCTAAATCAACATTTCTTTTCTGCAATAATATTTCATTGCTTATTTCTTTGAGTCGGTCAAAAGAGGTATTTTTTAAATTATCTAAGTCATGTAGCCATGTTGATTCGGTTATACCTTCTAAGATGGATTCAACTTGGCTAGTTCTCTTTTCAAAATTAGGCTGTGATTCAGTGTTTGAAAAATCAGGGTTTTTAAAAAAACTTAGACGCTTGCTATTTTTTAAGTACTTCAAAAAAGATGTGCTATGTAATTCATCATTTATGTTCGATATATTTTCATTTGTACTCTCATTCATTTCATTTTTCTCTAACAGATCGTTTTTGTCAACTGACGATGTAATTTTGCTATACTTTAGTCTATGGTCTATTCTAATTCGGGCCGAACAACTTTGTGTGCGGCCATTTTGTAACCGAATATCAGACATGCTAAACAATAATTGCATTGATATCAATTCTGCTAACAAAAAATTTGTCAAGCGACACAATACATCATCTTCTGATATTAAACGACTGTTAGATGTGACGCCATCTAAACTGTTGGTATTGCTACTTGACATTTTTGGCAAAACTGTTTGAGATGCATTATTATCTACCTCTAAATGCTTTATCGGGCTTGTGGCTATATCTGACGTAGTGTAAGTAGAACGAACAACAACATCATTAGTGTTACAAGATGCATTGCTCATAACACGCGTAGCATCAGTAGACGCATTGCGTGTAACTGCTGTTTTTAAATGCTTTGATGGACTTGTACCAACATCTGCCGTAGTATAATAGGAAGAAATAACAACTTTTTTAGTGTTGCATGACGCCTCATACATAATTTTAGCATCAGTCGATGCATCGCGAGTTACAGTATGATTAGTTATACTATGATGAAGGAAAATTGGATCAGTTGATGCATGGCACAATGTAATTGGTTCGGTTGATGTAGTTCGTGTTACAACTTGTTCAGTTGATGTTCCAATTTCATTTAGAAGCGGAAGTTTTAAAAAATATGGTTCATTTATATTAGCATTCTTCACAAAACTTTCATCGATACCCTCCCCAATTACCTTTAGTAAGTTATTGGAATTATTTAATTTACTTTCTAAAATTTGATTTTTTAATTCAATGTTTTCAAGTTGTGCCTTTTTTAACTTTTCCTTTACTTTTTGATATTTATGGTTATAGTCATTCTTGATTTCTTCAACCTAAAAAAATTTTATATAGTTTTAATTTAATACATTATAATTTACTTCAACTTTTTTTTTCTTTGCGTTGTGTGTGTGTGTGTTTTTTTTTTTTTTTTTGGCGTCATCTATTTTTTTTAGCCGTTTTCTGTTTTTCTTGAGCGTTGTCTCTTTTTCTTAAACGTTTTATTTATCTTAGGACATAACCTCACTATTTAATTATATTAAATTTGAAATTAAAAATATTATTTTGCAATTTTTTTATTTAAGTTTAAATATGATTTTCTAATTAAACGTACACACTACACCAACATTATTCGAGTATCGCAGGAAAGACAGTATTGTGTGTGGTTTTTATAAGTAACTTTTAAGAATAATTTATCTTGGTAAACCTAAGAAGTTTATTTTTGTATTTATGTCAAGTTTGCATATGTGTTTGGTGGGTTGGGTTAAAGATATAAAAAACATTTTATTAAAAAAAGTAAATAGAAAATCTTTTTTTTTTTGTATACCAATAATTTAAATCTCATAGAAATGTTTTTAAACTGGTTGCAACTTTAGTACATTATTTTTAGCTCGTATTTTTAGTATTTTTACTTTTAGCTTGCTTTAATAGGGTATAAAACTTGCAGTAAATTTAATTGCTTTGTTCTAAAGGTAGGAACCGTATATTTAACTAATCATTAAATTAAAAATAATCAACGGCCTATTTTTCTAACTTATTTTTTTGTACCATAAAACATAGCAATTAATAGGGAAGAGTGAGGAGAAATGGGGCGCAGCGAAAGTTGGACATTTTAAAAACTCCAGTTAGAATACTTCTAATCAAAGTTAACTTATGCAAACAATAGGATTTCTTCCCCTTAATTTACCAGACATTGTTTCCTTAAGTGTGGTAAAAACCACATTTTTTTGAAGGGTGAAGTAGAACAAGGAAACATAATTGATCTCCTATTCCTCTCGTGCCTCTTTTGTGTAATTATATTGTCGAAACCTTATGAATATTTTGATGACGTCTGCGTGGTACGATTTAATAAAATATCAAACTAATATTTTTTGTTATCATTTTGTTAATTACTCCCTTGTCCTACTTCATCCCATTTAAATCCCACTTTACCTAAATGACACGGTTCCTCTAAAATCAAAAATATATATACTTTATTAGGACCTAATCTTGATCATAGGGGATGGAATCAATCCTCATCATCACCATCATAATAATTAACAACAATAACAACATTATCAGCATCATAAAATACTTAAAACGAAAACTTGTTTTCTTACTCTTATCTCTGGAATATTTAAATCACTCTGAACATTTTCGGCTTTGTTATTAAGTAGCTCATTTATATGTTGACTCATTTTCTCCTTTTCTTTCTTAAAAGCTTCTTCTATAATATGAAAGTTGTGTTATAAAAAATCTCTATTTAAAAAAAACAAAAAACAATTGAAACTTATAAGCTGACGTCATATAAATTAATTTTTGTTAATTGCAGTGCATAATGACTTTTATTAATTTCTAAATGCAGATGACTAATCGTTTTTTTTTTTTTGTAAAAAAAACTATTAAAAAAAAATAAACTCTTAATTTAAGCTATGAAACAGTGCAACAACAATAATAACAACAGCAAAAGCAAAAATTGCAGAATTCTTTATAATATTAGTTACTTAACCCAATTTAAAATTTTCTTCTTGTAATTCATGACATAACATTTTATACTCCACCTAATAAGTATTAAAAAAAGTTTCAACTCAATAATTTGTCTAAAATTTACGTTAAATAAAAGTTGTTTCAATTTTTAAACACATACTTCAACATTTGTTTGTGGGTGAAGTTTAACTTTGAGCAATCTTTTCCCAAATTCTAATGTGCGTCTAGTCTCAATAATATCATCAGATGCAGTAGATATACATAGCTATAAAAAGTTTACTGTAATTAATATCATTATAAAATAATGAATAATAATAGTAAATCATAATGAAAATAATGCCGTTATTACAATGTCAACAAATTTCAAGTTTCGTGAAGCGGTTTTGACGCTAATCATTAAGCTGAAATTCTTACCACAAAACTGGTTTTGCAGTTCCCTCCTAAACTGTCTTGCAATAACCTGGTTAAAACAGAATTTCGATACGGAATATGCGTTCTTTGATCTTCGGCAAGAGCTGCTATCACATTGCTAAAATAAATATGTTTTTTTTTTTTTTTGCATAAAAAACGTAAATTTAAATAAAAGTAACTTTAAACGTAAATTTAAATAAAAACAACGATGTATAAAGTCACCCTAGCTGAAGCAGCGATAAGTTAATGTTCTGAGTTTCAGCTGACTTTTCATCTTCTGATTCTTTTAGACTATCGCTACCGGCTAAATCAACTCTGAAATAAAATATATTCTTATAATTTCAACTATTGCAACCTTAACTGGATTACATTTATGTAACTATAAATCTTTCATTTGCACATGAGTTGGTTCTGCACTAAAACGTCATTGATGAAGTCTTCTTAGAAAAAAACGTCATTTATGAGGTGGGTGTGTTTTATGTATGAGTCGGTAGTATTAATACTGTCATAAAATATAAAAACATTTTATGTGAAATATTAAATATTTTAAATAACAATATTACTAAAACTTACATTGTCAACTTGGATTTGAAATAATTGTCTTCATCAACATAATTTTTCTTATTTTTAAATTCATTGCAACACTAAAATAAAATAATTTTTTTTTTTTTTTTTAGAAGTTTTTTTAAACCAACAAATATAAAAACAATTGGTGGTTTTGTGGGCTATCCTCCTCCGGCTTTCTATATAGAGACTGCATACTAAGGCCCGCGAAGACGGGTTCAGCTCGTTAAAGGGAAATCCTCTTTCTACTTACCAAGAGTAAGTGAGTTTAAGAACAATGAAGGATGGTAGAATGAAATTCTGAAGAAGTCGAGTTAAATAGATAGCTAAGAGAAATCGGACAGATATTGCACCGGATGTTAGAATGTGCAATTATATATTAATCAGTTACAAATAATTTTAATGTTGCAAACTATAATAATTTGACTATTTAAACAATCCAATTGGTAGTTTTGTTCGTAAAGATTTTCATCAAATTTAAATCTAGTATGTGGCTGTTGTTGAGTGTTTTTTCAAATTTTTATTTTACATATTGCGGTCTTATATACTTTTGTATTAAATATTTTGGCGTTAAATATTTATATATATTCTTAGTGACTTTATATATTTTTATAATATATATTGCTATGACTACAAAGAGATATTTTTAACAAAGTGCTTATGTTAAATTATTTTTTTTTTTACTTGATAAATTTACTTGCTTTTATTAAAAAAAATCTAAATAATTTATCACATAAAATTTAATTATTTACAAAACAAAGTAAAAAATTTTTCTCGCTAAATCATTCTTAGATAATTTATTTTCTAGGAATGATTTTGCGATTTAAATTTATAATGATTTATTAATTACCTTAATTTCTATACAAAATTAAATAAACTTATTTTTATATAGAAATTAAATAATGTCATCTAAAATAGCGTCAGTGTGACATAAGAGCCTTAAAGATTGCTATCAATTTTCACTAATTTACCATGTGTTATTACAAGAAGCGTTGTCGTTTGTTTTTTTTAATGGTTTTAGAACTTTAACATTGTTTTTGAATTGTAATTATGTAATCGAGTTAAACAGCAATTATTTTGTTTTTCAATAAAATTTAATTTAAGGAAGTTTCGTTAATTTTAAAATTATTGTGATTTTATTTGACATTGACGCAGTACTTTAATTTGACTTCTAAAATCAAATTTCGATTTAATTTTTTCATCTTCACAAACCTCAGAAAACAGTTCGAAATAACAAAAGTTCAAAATAATTGATTTAGAGTTACCGGGACTTTACTGTAAAATTAATGTGTTTATTGGATATGCAAACGTAACTATCCCGGTGGTAAATTGGCAAGCGAATAGCTAGCTATAATCGTAACATTAAAGACAGCAACTTGGCCATGAGGTTGCTAGCTTTTTTAATACAGCGAAAAGCTATCGATATATGTAAAGATAAAGACAGCAATTTGGCTACAAGGACAGCAAGCTTAATAAGCTAAAGATCGACTGACTATTGTAGCTAGCGTCATACCGTAATAAAACCGATGTCTAAAAAATTTGATATGTAGCTATCAATCAGCTATAGATTTGTAGATGTTTTGTAACTAGCTACAAAACTACGATATGTAGCTAGCGAGACATTCCTACAAAATCGCAATGTTTAAAGTTCAAATATTCTTATAATAGACTCAACACTAAAATTTTTTAAAGATCTTAAAGACATTATGAAAAAATAGAATAAGAAAAAAAAAAACTCTTAAAAATCTTTATAAAGCAAGCTAGTCACTAGCTCATTTCCCACCGGGATATTGTATAAAGAAAAATAACATTGGAAAAAAAGCACCTATATCCATTTTTATCAAAAAATGTGAGTTTTTTCCACAAATTAACTTGTTATTAAGTTGCCTAACATAATGCAAAATTTTTATGTTCAACTGATCTATACCCATTGAGACAGTATTTTATGTTCAGCAGTATTTTATGTTTTATTTAATCTAATCTATAAAAACTTTGTGTTTTAACTTTTTACCTTTTAAACAGTGCTCAAAAGGAAAAAAAAAACGGGCGGTTTTAAGTATTTTCAAAATACCATCTTATCATTGCTATATGTTTTATACTTTAAGATGACGGGCTGGCGTATCAACCCGTCTTGTCTTACTTTGAATATTTTTAAATAATTATTAACGACTATTCTTTGATAAAAAAACAGCAAAAAAACAATTAAAAAATACAGACAGTAAAAAAAAAAACACAGTAAACACAAGTCAGTAAATTTGTATTCCAAGTATTTGTATTCTATAGATAGTCCAGTTTTACTATAGCGAAAACTGGGTATTAAAATATGGTTAAAAGTAAGTTATAATGTGGTTAAAAGTAAGTTATAATGTGGTTAAAAAAGTAAGTTAAAATAAATCTTAAAAAGAATAAAAAGAAAATTACCACTTCTACTCCACTCACTCCACCCATCTAATGACCATTCCTTCCAAATTTTATGTGCACACTACCCTCCATAATTATTCAAATGGCCATACTTTCAATATGAATTATCAAAGTTTTGCTTACAATTAGAAAAAATATTGAAAAATAATCTACCTGAATTATGGGTTTGCTTTCTATTTATTAGGTTTACATAAAAAATGAATATATAGTCCTATTAGATTAGTGTATAGTTTACTTGCCTATTTAATTACCCTTAACAACAATAACCGCCATATATTTTCTTACCTTCTACTTGACGACTTATCCAATTTGTTGAAGTCAATTATATGTCATTCAATGATAAGTATTTTCCTTATCATTTTCATCATTAGACATTAGCTTTTAATATTACTCTTAATTCATCTCATAAAACTCCGATGGAAGAGTGTTCTGGCGATTGGGGATGCCTAATATTCCAAATCTGGTGATTGGGGAGGCCAGATCGTGTCAATTTTACCAAGAAAGTGGAAACCTTTCAAATATAGGTCAAAAAGAAGTAATCATATAAAAAATAATATGAGGCCAGTAAGACAGTTTTACGACGTTTTAATATTTAACGGCATATATTAGTCCATAGACATCATATATTGAAATAAGAAGCAAATATATATATATATATATATATATATATATATATATATATATATATATATATATATATATATATATATATATATATATATATATATATATATATATATATATATATATATATATATATATATATATATTCAACTACATTTACAATGCGTTTTTGGCGTGTACAATAAAGAGAAGCAACCTTATGAGATGCTAATTTAGCAATCGATTGTATATATGGTTTCCATGAAAGATCAGTAGTAAACAACAATCCAAGAAAACATAAAGAAGATGACTCAGTGAGAAGGTTGCCATTCATTAAAAAAGAAGTGTCGACAGTATTGCGATATTTGTTTGCAGTAAAGAGTTATAATATGAAAACTTATTTTTTGTGCTTGCAATTTTATTCAGAGTTTTTGAATAAAACCCTTTAACATGCGCAACCTTTTTTTAACACTTACCTTTACACAAGCAGTAAAACACAAGGTTGCACTAGGCCGCAAATGTGACTAACTTTAATTTACACTCTCAGATATATATAAAAATTTAAAACTAAATTCGGCTCAGATTAGCTAAGCGCAGTAGGTCTTTTTATTATAAACGATATCTAATCATTATTTTGCCTTAAAAAACTGAAGAAGACGCATAAAAAACGCTTTTTTATTTTCAATCATTTATATCTTGTTAAACCTATTATAAAAAGAAATTTAAATGTTGTTATGGAACATTCTATGACAACTATCAATTTTTGTCTAATTTTTTTTATTGTAATTATTTTTGTTATGTTTAAGCGGTTTTTTATTGTACATTTTTGGTGGGCTATAACTCAACCTTATTTTGAAATTTCGTAAATTATAGATTATGAGGTTTTCGATTTTCAACCTACAACTTTTGATTTTTATATTTACACCTTATTAAAATATGTACTACTGATTTTCTAGTCGACTAAATTGTTGACCTACTGTATTTTCGACCTACTGAAATTTCATCCTACTGTATTTTCAATTTTATAACTACGCCTTTCCGGTATGTATTTTGTATATTTTGTTGTCGATTTGAATACGAGCCAAATTTGATCACCCTTGGCGCAGTGATTGAAGTGCTGTCTTCAGAATGTGGAGGTATGAGGTTTGATGAATGCTGGAAAACTTATTGATTGTTAATTTACAAAAAAATAAAATTCTGTAAATTAAAAAAACAGTTAAAAATACAGACCAAACAAAAATTCTGTAAATTAAAAAAACGTTAAAAATACAGACCACATAATCTGTTGAAATAAAATTTATCTCGAATCGGTTGAAAATGAAAATCTATAAAATAGGTCGAAAAATAAATCGGTTGAAATCAAAAATGTCATAAACCGGTAGAAAATAAAAAAGACTATAATCCGATGAAAACAATTTATCTGAAAACTAGATCCATTTTTTAGTAAATGTTCTTTTTGTAGAACAACTTAGTGGGTTGAGATATTTGTAGGTCGAACTAATTGACACGATATTTTTGCGAATTATTGTATTGTGCTAAGTTTATGTGAACATGTGAAAAAGATGATTTATGGATGAGAAAATGTCTTATTTGTATTTATATTTACAAAAAGATTTTATTTATGTAAAAAGAAAAGTTTAATTTAGTAGAGAGAAATTAGTTTGTTTACTCGAAAAAAGGATCTTTAATTTCTCATTGTGTTGAATGCGAAAAAACTACATCATTTTGTACTTTTAATTAAAATGTCGTCTAAATAACTTTTATAAAATGCCGTTTTCACTTGGAAAATTTTACTTTAAATGGGTCAAATGTGTTTTGTTAATTTATATAACCCAAATAATGGAAAAACAGTACATTGTTTGTGAAAAATAACACTATGTAACTATTTTTCACTTTTGTTTTGTTCCTGCGTTGAAAGTGTGTTTTCCTGACTCGTTTGGTCTAGAACAGAAAGGAAACCGCTGTTATTCCATAAAAACTTCGCTTTTGTGACCAGGACAGTAAAATTTCGAAAATCGCTTGTTTTCGAGAAAATTTTCGAGTTTCTTTCAATGCTGAGTTTCCTTCTATAATTTTCATGAACTGGTAGAGTTGTCCAGATTTTTCTGCAATTTTTCTAAACACTCTAAAACGTTCAAGAAACTTCCAGAACTTTCAAAAAACTCTCAGAGTTTCCTCGAACGTTCTTGAACGTTCCTAGAACGTTCTTGAATGTTCCAAAAGTAGCAGTACAAATATAAAAAGGACAAAGCTTAGATGTGTTTTAATTTATTTTCATAAAATTTTAATGATTTAGATCTAGTTTATTTCAAGGAGTTGTAATTTATAAAGTTTTGTCATAAGTCGAGTATTGTAGACAAATACGTTCCATCTTGAATTCGTTCCATATTTTGAAAATGTTACAGGTGGGTACAGAGAAGAGAAGCGAGTCATAAAGTTTGCTATCCCTCGAATGTGGCGAGAGCCGCTGGACCACTCAAGCAACTGCTACATCTGCTTGGCAAACCCAAAAAATTGTCGCTCTGGAAAAAATATTCCTTATATTGTTTATCTGTACACACCTTCTTTTATTGCTCTAGTACCAAACAGTCCCAATCTACCTGT